TATCAGTGTTTAAAATTTAATAATTTAATAACAAATAATGTAGCTTTTCATAATTGTAAATATTTCTTCTATTAAACATCATATAATTTATTTATTAAAAAATATATAATTAGCTAAAATAGTATATTGTAGTTGCTGATTTTAGAATTACATGTATATATTTTATTTCTTTTCTTATTATTTATTTTATTTTTTATGAAAGTATCAATTAGATCTTTTAAAAACATAATTATAAATTATTAAGTACATTATTTTATTTATATATAAATTCCATATACTACTTATAAAATTTTACTTCTTCAACTGTTCAAATTTCATTTTCAAAAAAATTTTCTATAAAAATATTATATAATAACTAAATTCTTTATTCAATATACAAAAATTAAATAATCATATCATTATTTGAAACTTATATTCATAATCATATAATTACATAAAAAATTTAAGAAAACACAGAAATAACACTTAAAATAATTTCTTTTTTTTATACTAATTTTTTTTCCAATTATAATTTCATAACATAATATGATATTTTACTATATGAACTATTTTATTTTTTTTTTTTTTAATTTTAATTTTATAAATTAATCTTTTGTTTTATTAATTATATTTTTTTCTTGTTATTTGAAAACTAATGACATTATTGTTACATGAAATTGAAAATTTAATATTCAACACAAAAAGCAAAGAAAGAATTCCCTTTACTCTAAATTAATATCTTATACTATATAAAATTCCAATTTCAAATATAAACAAATTTATAATATAGTTATAACATAAGTACGAATATTGTCATTTCTATGTAGAAATTATAACAATTTCCTAATGTAATTCAAGTGTATAATGATGCTCAAAAATAAGAAAAATATCTATATTCAATTATTTGGTCAAATTAAATTATTTTTCTTCCTTAATTGGATTAATGAATATTTTTTTTACGTTTCATAAATTTAAAGTATAAAATACATACATATACATTACTTTTTGGTTTTCTTGAAATTTATACATTAATCTATAATTCATATAAAAATTTTTTTTCTTTAATAAATCAATTTTTGAATACTACTGCAAAATATTTTGAGAAAGCCTTTTATGATGATATTATAATCATGAGAAAAAAATCAATCTTAAAGAAAGCAAGATATTTATCACAAGCAGAAGAAACTTCCTGTATATTAGATAAACAATATAGTGAAACAAAAGAAAATGGAGATAGCTCCTCTAGTGAAAGAAGTAAACTCAATACAGAAATTAGAACATTTGATGAAGATACTAATAATGAACTTAATTTTTATCTTGATGACAGAGAAATTAATAATGATACAGTTAAATGTCAAAAGTCATCCTCATATGTAAATTGGAGAGGAATGGACTTTGTTAATTTAGTATTAAATGAAGAAAAAGATCGTAATATCTCAAGTCTTGTTAATTGTTGGAATGAAAAACAAAGATCTTTCGAGACAAAAATACAGGATAAAACAAATTCAACATGTACTTTGAAAAATTTTGATTATTGTGCTGTTTTGAAAAAAAATGATAATTGCACTAGTCCTTATAAAAATAGTGATTTACCAGATTTAATTCCATTAACATATAACGAACTCAAGGATAATCAATATGAACAGAATAAAACTAAAATTATTGACGATAGACATAATAGATTTCACAATATTACTAATGATATATCTCATTACTATTACAGAATGTATGAAAATGACAAATCTCCACTTAATTGTGGGAAGTGGAGTATGTATATATATAAGAGAGGAAAACAATTTATTAAAATGGCGGCCAATGAATTATATGAAGATGCAGTATATGTAAATGATGCTATTAGAAGATGGAATGAACATAGTAATCAATTGGAAACTACTGTGTTAGAGGATACTCAATATCAATGTAATATGACAAAATTTATTTATCAAATTAAAGAGCAAGAAAATTCAAATAATCCATATGATTTATCTAGGCTTATTTCAAAAAAGAATCACAATCAATCTAATGAAACTACATATAATACAACTGCATTACCAGATAACTTACATTCTACAACTGTAACTCCTAATGTATTACATAATGTTACTACTACAAGTTCATTGGATAACAATACGACCAATGTTAATAACGTAAATGGTACAAATGCCTCTGAAAATACATTAACAGGCGACACCTCAGTACCACCAGCTACTGCAGATCAAATTGTTCCAAAAACTTCAACCACAATTTCTCCAATAGACACAACACAATCGAATTCTTTAACTCCAAATGATAAAATAAATTCTATTACTAATAATATATCTAACACAACCTCATCCCCACCTTTCACTGGGACTTTAATATCTCCTGCAACTAAAATATTACCTTCAAATTCTACTACAAGTAGTGTCACACCTACAGTTACACCTTTACATGGAGAAATATCTGCTACAGCGACCAATGAATATTCTATTGCTACTATGAAGACATTTACAAATAATATTACACCTTCTACAACATATACTAAATCTCCTGCAACTTTATCAATACCTTCTGAAACTGTAACTTCTGTAAATAAAACTATATCTACAAATGGCAATATATCTGTTACAAATGACACTGCATCTCCTTCAATTGATCCTACTTCTTCTCCTGAGATTGCACCTTCCCTTACAACTATGACTACAACTCCTACAGATAGCTCTACACCTCCACTACCTTTATCTATTCCTAAAATCACCACTTTGTCATCTACAAATAATTCTACATCACCTACAAAAGATATGTCTATTCTTCCTACTAATGAAGTTACTAATAAAACTGCAACTTCACCTTTAACAGATAATTCTACACCTTTATTGACAAATATTATTGAAGATGCTACTACCATTGAATCTTCTACAAACAGAGTTGCATCTCCTGAAACTGACGTTATATCTCCTGCAATTAACATTACATCTCTTATGCCTGATACTATATCTCCAAATGCACTTTCGAATTCTCTAGATAAAACACCTATTCTCACAAATACAACTGCTTTTTTTCCTACAACAAATAGCAATTTATTCTCAAATCAGACAGATAGTATCCAACTACAGATCCCACCAAATACACATGCCCCTCTTAAACAGCCTCAACAAAATTTTCATGGAAGAAATTGTTCTGAAAACATTTCACTGTGTCAAACTGCGACTGATCCAAATACTTTGAAGCCAGTCCCATCAAGTGACCCTAATGAAGTTATGCCTACAGTTAAACCTACAGATAATTTATTAATACCAATGGTTTCAGGAGGTATTTTTCTTTTAGGAATTATTTTTCTTTTGATTCTTCTTTGTAAAGTATGATTATATTAACAATTAAAAAATGAAAAAACGTATATATTTAAAATTATAATTACATTAATGAAGAATTTTTATAATTTTTTATTTTTTAATTTGAATTATAGTATACTCCCATTGGTTCTTGGATTCGTAATAGGAAGTCAAAAAAAAAAAAAGCAAGAAAAAAGATTAAGAAAATAACAAGGGAACCGTTGCTAATGGATACAAATAATACAAAGAATGAACCAATAAATAATCAAAATTATTCATCCTTACACCATGAAAAGGAAATACCACAATGTGATATGAGTTTGAAAAATCGAAAAGATTTAAAGTATAAACAAGTGAAGAAATCCAAAGCACATAAAGGAATGTATATGGAAAATGAAAAATATTTGAAGTATGAACATATGAAGAAATATAAACCTCATGCAGGAATGCATATGGAAAATGAAAATAAGTGCATTCGTGAAGCTGTAGAAGTATCAAAGAAGCATGAAAATGAATTTATATTGAGAGAAAAATTAAATGAAGATAATCCTACAAATGAAATTAAAGATGAATTAAATAAAAATAGATTAGAAGAAAATCCTGTTCATGTTGTAGGGTATATTAGGAATGGCACATTAAATGAGGAAAAAGCAAATGAAATAAATTCGCATAAGGAAAAATCTACATGTGAAGTTGAAATGAAAAACTTAGGAAATAAAACAACAATCGAGAATGATGTATGTAATTGGAATTCATGGGTAGATATACATATGAATGCATTACTAGAATATAAAAAAGAGGAATGGAAATTGAATAAAACCGAATTTATTGATATTTGTTTAGAAGAGATCCAAAAAGAAGGAGAAAATTCTAATTTAAAAGATATGGGAAATAATTTTGTAATGAAAATAAATGAAGAAAATAATACCGATACAATAGATAAAAATAGTAGTATATTAGATAAATATAAAAATGAAAAGTGGTTTATTATTTTGAAGAAAGAATGGAAACAAGAACAAGAAAAATACTTAGAATATTTAGAAGAATATGAAATTGAAAAAATGACAGAAATGGGAGTAAATAATTTTATGCTAGATAAAAAAAAAAAAATATGGAAGAAATGGATAGAATGGCAAATAGAGCATTCATACAAATACAAAAATCAGAATTGGTTTATAAAATTATTAGAAGAATATGAAAAAGAAGAATTTCATGAAAATATAAAAGAAGAAAAAATAGATAAAGAAAGAAACAATGGAATAGATAAAAGTGAAATGAAGAAAAATTTGGAAAGGAGAATTTTGTTAGATATTCATATGATGGTATTAGAGGAATGTATGAAAGAAGAGTGGGAAAAAGAAGAAGAATTTTATAAAACAAACATTATAGAGATAAGAAAATATAAAGATTTGGACGAAGAAACAAACATATTAGATAAAATAGAGAGAGAAAGAAGTTGGAATGTTATATCAGAAAAAAAAAAAGAGGAAATAGAAAAATGGAAAAAAGAAAAATGGTTTATTGAGTTAATGTTAGAATGGAAAAATAATGAAGAAAAATATATGATGGAGACAAATGAAGAAATTTTAGTAAAAAAGAACAAAGAAATAATAATAGATGTTGTCTTAGAAAGAAAAAGCAATATATGGAAAAAACACTGTGAAAATATTTGTAGAAAGTGGAAAGAAGATGACAACAATGAAGAATGGTTTACAAAGTTAGTGAATGAATATGAAAATGAAGAGAAAGAATATAAAAGTAGAATTGATAAAAATAGTATAGAAAAAAAAATAGAAAATGAAAAAACCATAGAAAGAGGTGAACCCGTAACAGAGATTAATAAAAAGGGAGAAGAAAAAATGGGAAAATATGAATGGAATAGTTTAGAGGAATCATATGAAAGGAATAATTCTATAATAAACAAAAAAAAATTAAAATGGAAGACTTTAATAGAAATATATATGGTAATATTGGAGGAATGTAGAAAAGAAGAGTGGTTATTGAATAAAGGAAAATTTTTAGAAACCTGCTTAGATGAATTTATAAAAGAAGAAAAAGAAAAATATCCAAAAAAAATAGAAAATGATTTAGAAATGTTGAGAGAAGGAAAAGAAGACATTAGTACATTGATGATTGAGAAACAAAAACTTTTATGGAAGAAATGGGTAGAAAGAAACAAAAGAATGTCAGAGAAATGGAAAAAAGAAGAATGGTTTATTAATTTGAAAAAAGAATGGGAGAAAGAACAAGAAAAATTTGATGAATTAACAAATGAATCAGAAATATCAGATATAGAAGCAGGAAAAAATCCTATGCTAGAGAAACAAAAAAGAATATGGAAACGATGGCTAAAAAAACAAAGAATGTGGTTTATACTACATAGCGAGGATGAATGGTTTAACAATTTATTAGACGAATACGAAAAAGAAGAAGAACTTAAGGAAGGAATAACTAAAAAGGACGCGAAAAAAGCGAAGAAAATTCATGAAAATATAGAGGAATTGAAACAAGAAGGAGATAACGAAATAGAGAAAAATAGAAAAAAAAGGGAGAAATTGATACAAAAAGTTTTGATAGAAATACATATGACGTTATTAGAAGAATTTATGAAAGACGAATGGCAAGAAGAAAAAGAATATTTTTTTAAAAAAATGGTGGAAGAATTGAGAATACAAGAAAATTTAGATGAGGATCTTAACATATTGGAAATAAAAAAAAAAAGTAGTAATGATTTATTAAATAATGATAAAGAGAAAATAGATGAATGGAAAAAAAAAAAATGGTTTATAGAGTTAATATTGGAAATGAAAAGAAAAGAAAAGGAATACATAAAGGAAGTATATGAAGATATGATAGCAAAAAATAATGAGAAAAGAATTAAAAATCCCATGTTAGAAATGCAAAAAATTATATGGAAAAAACACTGTGAAGATATTCATAGGAGGTGGATAGAAAAAAATAATAAGGAAATTTTACAACGCTAATTTATTAATGAAAATATGGTGATAATGAATAAAGAAGCAATATTTATAATAGAGTATAGGAGAGAAAAATAATTGTGAAGAAAATGGAAAATTACGTAAAACAATAGAAAAAAATTTAGAATTGATAAATGGAATTATTAAACTTTTTGAATATTTCTTAGGAAATAAACTTAAACATTGTTAGATGCTTAGTTATTGATTGCTTAATTTACCCATTCAATGATCTCGTTAGAATATTGATTTATTAATTTATTGTATAATAATTTTTCTAATGTTGAACAAATAAATTAAATATATATAAATATAACTATAATTATTTTATTTAGAATAAAATAAATCATTGCATAAATCATTTATGTTTATTAACTAATATTAAATTTTATCTCTATTATTAATTGTTTTAGCCAATCTATACAATATAAATGTAATATCTAACGATATGTTATTTAATCTTTCATGAAAAAAAGAGTAATACCCATCGNCTCATAACAAAGAAGCAAATTATTTACACTTAATTAATAGTCAATATTCAATATTAAATAAGGATTTAAATTTTTAATAAAAATAAAGATTTTTGTTAAAGTAAATAAATACCTATTGAAATTAAAGAATGCTGAACGAAGTAGATCACATAATTAAGAATCACTCGTTCAAAGCATTTAAAAATATATACAAATACATCAAAACGGTAGAGTCAACTCTACATGCTCTTTATTAATTTGTTTGTTCGATGCTCTATAAGAGTAGCCGAACACCCAGTTAATAAACCACCAATACATAATAATAAAATTTTTATATTTGTAATATTTATATAATTTAATATGTCTCATTAATTGCCTATGTTTGCTAACTTGAAGGCAGCGGATTTGAGTTCCTAAACATTATTCATAACATTATAAATCATATATATGAATTAATAGTTAATGTTCAATTAGGAATCAAATTTTTAATAATAGCAGAAATTTTTATTAATGTAAATAAATATCTTTTAAAAACAAGGACTGTTCAATGATATAGACTATATATAAAACAGTTTAGTAGTTCATAGAATTGAAAAATTATGATTAAATTCACTAAATTAGTAAACTATATATGCTCTTTATTAATATATCTGTTCAATACTCTAGAAATGTCAATGGATAGGATTTTAATATATCATTTATATAAGGTTTATTTATAACGAATAAAAATTGTAGTTATTATTCGACATGTTTTTTATTAATTTGATTATTCAATATACTATTAATTTATTTGAAAGGACAATTAATAAATTAATCATCTTTAATAAAAAAATTTAATTTTTTCTTATTTTTAATTTTTTAATTGTATATACAAGCTATTAAGAAGATATAAATATGCACATGTTTTAAATGAAGTTCTCTGTAAAAAATATATTTCTTTTTAGTTCACATCTATGTATATATATTTTTTTTATATTTTTAGCTAGATTTGCTTCAAAAAAAAAAATTTTATAAGTTCTCAAATTTCACATTTTTTCAGATTCACGTCACAACATTTATCTTATATGTTGATAATTCATTTCTTTAAGCACCTTATGCACTTTATTTCTTAAGTTTATTTAATTAATGAAAGAAAAAAATTTAGATAAATGGTAGATTTTACTTAAGGTTGTTATTATAATTAAGGAATTATTCTATTTTGTATGAAATTATTACTTATTTAAATTGGAAAAATCTATTAAAATTAAAAAAAAAAAGTTAACTATGATAGAATTAAATTTTCAACTTCAAAAAATTAAGATAACCTAAAAAAGAAATTGAACATTGGATTATAAGCTGTAAATGAAATATTACAATATATATAGTTACATAAGTTATATTATTTAAATTATTTTAATGATGTAATTAATGGTAATTTTATACATATTTCATTTACTCAATTATTACAATTTTACTATTAAGAATGATACATTGGCATAAATATATTAACAAAACTACACCATATATTGATGAAAAATAAAAATTAATCTATTAAATGATATTATTAAAAATAAATGTAATCATTTTTATAAATATAAATGGAATATAAACATAAAAATTACAATAAGAAAAATATTATATAACATTTTATGTTTAAAATTTTTTGGTATCTTATTTTAATGATTCTTTTAAAATATTAAGTTGAAATACAAGTAATATATATATTATATATCCTCTTTTTTGAAAAACTATATTATTTTCTTTCTTTTTTTTTTTTTTTTTTTTGGTTAATTGAATAAATTTTATGGCATTTATATAATAATATATTATATTTTTTATATATTTAACAGATACGTAAATTATAGACTATGCAAATGGATAATAAATCATCTTTCTAATATAAAAATTGTTAAGAGTAAAATAAAGTTTCATTTAAATTATAATAGAGATATCTTTGTATTAGGTTAACAAAAAGCAATATTTTGTAAATTATCTACAAGTAAATCTTTCATTTTATCTATACATATGATTAATTTATAATACATAAAACACATATATTTGAAATACATGACAAATTTTAGTAGGAAAACTAAGGAATATTTCATTTGGGGTTATGTTATTCCTCATCTTTAATAGAAACAGAAATATATAAATATTAAAAGATGCTATCAACAATATTTATTTTATATTAAATAAAACAAGTAGAGAATAAAAAGCTAAATAAATTAAAAATGATAAAATATATAAAATTTAGTTTAACAAACTTCTTCTGTAAACATTTAAAAGTAAATAAGATACTACATTTTCAAAAATAAAAAAATTCATAATTACCTTATATGAATGCTTTTTCCTATTAATATTTATATATATATTTATATTTTTTTTATTTTTTTACCTTCTTTTGATATTATCTTATCAAGTTCTTTTTTCCACTTTAAATTAAACTCACTTTCTTCTTCATTAACTTTCATATTTTCTTCTCTTTCCCACTTTTCATTTTTTTCCATTATGCTCTTTTCCAACTCTTCCTTATATCATTTGCTTTTCGCACTTTTCTTTTATTTTAGCATTTCCTTTTCAAACTTTTTAATTATTTCTAGCATTTTCTTTTCCCCCTCTTCCTTATTTTTACGCATTTTCTTATCCAAAATAATTTTTTCATTTAGTATTCTCTTTTTCCAAACTTCGCCTTTATTTATAATTCGCTTTTCCCACTCTTCCAATTGTTTTAGCATATCCTGACCACACAGTTCCTTTTCTTTTAGAGTTTTCTTTTCCCACTTTTCCTTTTCTCTTAGAACTCTCTTTTCCTCCACTTCTATTTTTTTTTTTTTTTTTAGCAGTTTCTCTTGATCCTCTTTCATTTTATTTTTTTCTTTTTGCATTTCCTTTTCCAAATCACCTTTAATCCTTTTATTGCTATTATGCAATATCTTCTGCAACCTAACATTCATTTCATTTTTAGCTTTCAATTTAAGAGAGTAAATTCTCTGTAAATTATTACAAATGATTTAAAATTTTGTTTTTATAATATATATAAAGTTTATAATTATAAACTTTATTTTACCTTAAAACGAAGGAAAGAAATAATAATGATAACTAACTGAAAAATACTTAACGACTTTTTATCAAGAAGATTTGTTGGTGTAGCTGAATCCAAACTAATATCTTTAGATGGATTTTGAATGGCATCACGTGAATTCAAATTATGATGTAATGGATTTTCTGGTATTGAAACAGTTGCATCATTAATTGCCCTATGAGCGAAACCTGTAGTTGAATCTCCCTCATTTAGTCTCTTATTAGAATCATTATTAATAGCATCACTAAGATTAGGATCCATTTTTGGTATCTTTAATAATGTAAATAAAATTATTGAGAAATTATTTCTAATATTTTTTTTAATGATTTCTAAAATATTTCCCTTTTTTTTTCAGTAAGGATGATATAAGTTAAAAACAAAAAATGTGGAAATATAAATTAGAAATTTAGTATTTTCATTTGAAAAATTAAAAATGTAATGTAGAAAGGTGATATACACGATATATTGCGCAAATTAATAACATTCGTAATTAACTGACTCCTGTAATATTTTATATTAGTTAATAAAAGTTCATAATTTGTATTGTATTTTAATTATAAAAGAATAAAATAATAAAAAATTTTT